TCAGTTGTGGCACAGAACCAGACTTTGAATAACTTGCGTGTTGTCAGCCGCGTAATGCTCGCGCGTGTGTGTGTGTGTGGGACAGTGTGATCGTTGCAGAGTTCTCCATACTGTACACGTGTTATTCGAGTCAACAAGTGTGCCACATGCAACTAGGAGACACTTCATGCTATTATAAATGAATGTACCCATTGCTTTTTTATGTATAATTTTAAAGTGATATGTGTATGCTAATTTTTGCAAATTCTTCATGTATTCATATACAAGATGGTTAGTATGTTCAAAAGATAGAAGAAACATAGCTAGCTTGTTGATTCTTATGCTGTGTCCTTTGATAATTTTATAAACTTAGATTTATGAAACTTAATGTCAAGTCTCAAGAAATGATGAGGTGGATGTTATTGTTGTAAAGTTAAATACAATTTCTCATCATGATCTGAAAGACAAATTCTCATATTTTCTTGTTTGAGCATCTAGTCACTAGCTGAAAACGGTCATGACGTGTGCGGAATGTTGAATTAATACAGTACTGTACGTTAATTTTTAGAAAATGATAAAATAGTTTGGACAGATATGGATAAATTGATACAAGATATTTGGTAGCTGTTTACAAATATTCCTAGTGGGTTATTTATGGTCTCGATGGGATTATAGGAAGTGTAAATTTCTATACTGAAGACTTAATTCAGCTTTGTATTGCATTTCATTAAGATATTTATGGGCAAATGATTGTTCATATGATGTAGAAATATCAGATGTAAGTCAGTTGTATTCAATATCAGGACATCAGGTTGAAGCCATATTTGTGAAATTCTTTGATCACAGACAAATTATCAAAATGTTTTCAGTGTTTTGAATATTTTATATACATATATAATATATATATATTTTTTTAAGCACTAAAATATCAGATTTTTTCCTTAGATGTCATCACTTACGAAATCTGTTTTGTGTGAAAATAATCCCTCCTTATAAGTAATGCTGGAGATAGCTGAAGACATTTATACTTATTTCAGAGAGTTTATTAATAGAGCAGCAAAGATGTAGCTTAGAACTGTAAGCATATTTATATTTCTGAAATTCGGTAAATTAATCACTGACAAGTATTAGTGTAGTCCATTAGATGATATCCCGAATATTAATTTTGCTGAAAATAAAACTTCAATGCAGGTCTTTTAATATTTTATGTGACTTGTTTTTCTAGAATCCAGTACTGGGTGATTCCTGACAGCAGCTCTGAAAGAATATTGTTAATAATGTCAATTTTGATATTGTACTTAATATGTACATAAATTACCTGTATACAGGAGATTCACAGGACATGCCACCAAATGTCTTAAAAGTTAACAGCTTTCTTTTTAAAGTATTTATCTCTATTTTTTTCTTACATCGTTAGGTGGCATCTATGCAGAAGACTTTACTTGTACAAGCCAGGTGTTAAAATTAAAATAACATGTATACATTTTTCTGTATTCTGATTACCACCCAATACAATACAGTATTTGAATTAATGTACTAATTTGACTTCTAAATATTTGGTATATATCTAGTCATTTACTTTGTCAAACCAGATCACAGAATCCAACAAATGTTTCAGTTTTGACACAAATACTTTGTCATTGACACAAATTTCACTTGGTGTGAAATGCTTGATAACTGAGATGTTTGGGGAAGACCAGACAGTTAAACCCCCCAGTCTTGGAGGGACTGAGGTATTCACAATGTTGTCAAAAATACAAGAATGTGAGTATGGTGGTAATCAGTTCAGAAATGCTGATGCAAATAGCCTTTACTGTATATATTTTCTGATATTATTACAGTATTTGCCAAACAAACACACACATGCTGCCTCCTGTGACATTTGTGCATTTTATGTGGATCTGAAAGTTTACACAAATAATGTGAAGCACGAAATTAACTTGCATGAGACCTGTCAAAAACCTCCCCACAGTGTGTTCTGTGTTGGTCACTAATTGGTTATGATATATTAGACTCTGTGTCATACATCTGACAGTGGAAAGTTCTCATGATGTAAAAGTAAAAGACTTGTTATATACTAATGGAAAACAGTATGCTCTTCATTTTTTTCGTTTAATGTTGAATTGTGTGCTACTCAAAACTTGAAACCAGCCATGTCCAATAACACCAGCAACTGAAGCTACTTTATTTGCAACATAATTCACTGATTGATAAAAATGAGCTTAAATAAAATAGTTATTTAAGTTTAAAAAGGTTTGTTATTTAAATAATATAAAAAAAAATTTGGACCATATAGCTAAGCTTAGCATTTTAATTCTGTAAGATGGTGTCAAACACTTCCATATTCTTTGGAGGGAGAGATTGCTCTCTTAGCATAATTATCAGCTGTGTTCCCTATACATGAATCATTTTTATCTGAATTTCCAGAGCTTTCCAAATAATCTTGAACCTTAACCAGATATTAATTCTATTGTTTGATCAGTAGGATCAAGGAAGATGTAAGTAATCACCACCAAGTGCTGGGTTGTTTACGTGCAAGCATTGACATACGCTTCTGCCCACACGTTGTGTACTCCCTAATATTTAGGGTTATTTATAAATTTCAAGCAGGCAAGTCGATTGAGTTTTAGTTTTTATAATGGTAAAACTTTTCTTTTCAAAAGTTATGTTAAGATTATTGCATCTTCCTTGTTTTTATAAGTGTCTTTGTGATGCACAAATTATTAGATAAATTTCCTTGATTTTGTCAACATTTTGTATCACAAAATACCCATGGACAGCTAACATGACTTTCAATAAATAATATATGACTTCTTTGTTTTGCTGCCTTTTTGTGTATGTGTTATAAAGGAGAAATGGTTCATCATAATTCATTTACAAGTGAAGGCTTAGCCATGATGAGCTTTATTTGGAAGTTAATACATAAGGTTATGTTACCTTGTATAACATGCCTGCAATATTTCTTCAATAATCATTTCTTGAGGTTATCTTGAGATGATTTCGGGGCTTTAGTGTCCCCGCGGCCCGGTCCTCGACCAGGCCTCCACCCCCAGGAAGCAGCCCGTGACAGCTGACTAACACCCAGGTACCTAATTTACTGCTAGGTAACAGGAGCATCAGGGTGAAAGAAACTCTGCCCATTGTTTCTCGCCGGTGCCTGGGATCGAACCCAGGACCACAGGATCACAAGTCCCGCGTGCTGTCCGCTCAGCCGACTGGCTCCACTGAAACATTAAGAGGTCACTAACACCAAATCCTGCTATCAGAAAAGCTTAATGGGTTGGTGATCATAGTCTACAACAGTCAAATTTGCCCTGAAACGCTTGGCATAATAGTGGCTTTAGGCATTGTATGTACTAGCTCTATCTATAAATTCATCAATATCTGTATCACCCCTTGTATGTATGTACTTTACCTAAATAAACATTTGAATTTTGAATTTGAAAATAACTTGACGAGATGTCGTGTGCTGCTGAATCTTGGCTCGTTAATACTGGTATATATGTTAGATAAAATCTTAATTTTTAAGTTTTTCACAATTTTATTTAAGTACTATTTACAGGTCTATATCAGATAAACAATCTGAATTAAAAGGGAAAAATATGTTTTTCTTTACAATAAAAATATTGATACATGTTTAGATATGGTCAGATCACACAAGGCCAATCAAGAAAGGCATTCTGGAGCCAACATATCTCGCGATATGAATGAGGTGCAATAACGAGTTAGGGTGCAATGTAGTGTAATGAATACCAGTTATTAGTAGTTGAGTGAATGTAAGAAAGGATAGATGTATTATGGTAGTAAGTATTAATTTACATAGTGGTCAGGTTTGGGAATGGAGTTGTGTACACGTTTACTGTATGTAAAAAATGATACACCAGCCAACTGAAACTTTTGACGTAACTAAGGCCGATTCAAAGATGCAAGGAGGGTACCAAATAGCTTAAGCTACTACTGTATATCCCTTCGAGATGTATTTTATTGTCTCAATAAACGAACTTGAAAGATGCTGACCAAAAGCCATTTATGCAGAAATTACAATTTTTAAAATATTAAGGTTACAATGATGACAATGTACATAATATACACTGTAGTATGGTTGACACACATTCACAATTTGACTAGATATCTTTTGTTTTTATGATAAAACAGAATCTGAAATCCAGGCCTTATGACGAATCTCTTGGACACAAGTATTTTACCGCTTGACTGTTGTACAGTACTGTATGAGCAATTTTGCCGGCTCTCAATTAGTTAATATTACTAAATACTATTTTTTATTGCTGTACTCTACAAGCTCCTCACTAGCTGTCACATCTCAATATTTTGGTTACAGAAATCCAATATTCATTCATTTTTCATAAAAAAATAAACAAAGAATTAATAGATATAGTTCAGGATGTCAATGTGAGAGCAAGAAGACAGATGCACAATGTGAAAGGTATCAGTCACCAAGGGTTTTATCGAGGAACAAATTACTGTAGTGTACTGGGAAAGCAAAGTGTCTGATCTTGAAAATCATGATATTCTACAAGAAGGTACAAGTCGTGTTAATAGTGTATAGCCAATAAGTAATCTAGCCAGAAGCATTGTCCAACTTCCTGTTTTGTAGTAAAGACCTAAAGTCTTGCCTTGGTTCAAGACAAACATTATTGTTATGGTAATAGGAGAAACAAAGTACAAGGGAGAAGGTTTTAGTGGCAAAGATTGTGTGAAAATTTCTCAGTATTTCAAATGCACGTAGGATTAAGCAATTTACAAGTACTGTACAGTACAGAATTATACTTTTGTTAGCCATAGAGGATCTTCATTACAAAATAAATTATTTATATTGTTACAGTATATGACAATGTTATGATTTTGTGCACCTAAAGGTGTGTTACAGAACAGTATCTTGAGGTTATCTTGAGATGATTTCGGGGCTTTAGTGTCCCCGCGGCCCGGTCCTCGACCAGGCCTCCACCCCCAGGAAGCAGCCCGTGACAGCTGACCAAGACCCAGGTACCTATTTTACTGCTAGGTAACAGGGGCATAGGGTGAAAGAAACTCTGCCCATTGTTTCTCGCCGGCACTCGGGATCGAACCCGGGACCACAGGATCACAAGTCCAGCGTGCTGTCCGCTCGGCCGACCGGCTCCCTTATATCATCTGCTATAAGAAAACTCCCCAAACTTTAACGATACATAGCCAAAAAGTACAAGATGTCTCCAAATCCAGATTGGTAACAAAACAGTAATCTAGATTTTGGAGGTACAATACACAGTCTTTCTATGCAGGTTTGTGCGTAAATGCACTTGCGGATGCCCCATTATGATATTTGCATCGGTTACCAGCTGCCTCAAAACTAATTCCGTACCCAAAAATGATTAAACTACTGTATCTCAACCTTCCTTACTTTTGCTTCTTTTGTTTCCTTTTTCATGAAAAATTTACTATATATCTTCAAGTCTATTTATCGTGATGTGCTCCAGCACTCGTGTAGTTCCACGTAGTTGCTGACTGCTTCTCTCCTCACCCTCACTGCCCTTGCACAGCCACGTATGTGTTAAAAGTTTCAACATGCTAAAGACATTCTCCAGATATTACAAAGATACTGTGCCACAAAAATAAATACAGGGAACTGTAAAATCCACAGATTATCCCTACACAGGATACCTTATTACTAGTGAATAGAACAATGTAGAAGAGGATGTATTCAGGATGATGCAGGGCACTCATGGGATGAAGCGTTTGAATCAGGCACAGGATGAAGTGTGAAGGCTTCCAATGGAGTCATTTTTCCACCTTCACCCACAATAGTGTAGACACCCGACTGAAAAGATATTAGTAAAATATAAGAATGTCATACACAGTACTGTATACGAAAATAACGAGCAATATTTGATTGAAATTAGAAAGTTAAAAAGCACCGCAATACTATCAATCACCCCACCCACCATTTCACGAGAAATGTTGACGATTCGGATACTTCACTACCTATTGCTACTACCTTCACTACTGTATATCAATATGAAACCCTTGTGCACTTAACATTTCAAGAGAGTCTAAACATGTAGAGTATCACAAAACAAACTATTATTACCTTCTCAGGAATAATTAGAGCTGCCTCTGAGAGAAGGGAGGTGGGGCTAGAAAGTCCTGGACCCGAGACCCCTCCTGCAGCAGTATGGTGACTCCCAACCAGTGACAGAGAAACGCTGTCTTCTACTGCTGCCACACTCATACTTCCTGCTGGACCTCCTCCTATAGATGAACCCAGTGAATTTAAGCCTGTGCCCATGTTTATGCTGGGACTTGAAGACATTGATGCCTCCAGTGGATCAAGCTGAAAGAAAATGGCTCTCAACTTACTCAATCTGGGATTACAACACATTATTTTTCATTCAATTATCTGAATAATATTAAAGGAAATTTGATAAATAACTCTGCAGAGAGAGCTGTTACACGCTTCAACCTTTTTACTCTTCAACATCTTAGTACAGTACTTGGCTAAGGGCCTTAATCTCACCATCAACACCTTAATACCACCATGCTGTTATTGCAATAACAGCATGGTGGTAGTAATATAGAAGTGCTAACCTATTAGTGTTTCCAAAAAGTAAGAGCTAGCTTGTTAGGCTTTACCTAGCTATTTGTACATGGTGAATTTAAATTGTCAATCTTTACATTCTACAAACATAAATGCTCATTTCTCTCGATACACTTTCATCACAAGAATAATTATAATAATACAGAAGCAATAATCATACTTTATAGTGTACATACATATATAATAATGCTCCCATTTTCATGAGAGACATCAGCTTGAATAAAGGGAACAATATAGAAGGTTGTAGACACAGTTCACCAGACAATGTTGTCATCCACTGATATCATCCGACACACAGTACAGCATCATGGACAAACCAGCCCCATCACACCCACAGCCGCACTTGACCTCTCCCCAAGACAAGCTGTAGTGTTGCTTGTGAGTTGGTATATAGTATAAAAACACTTATTCTCTCCTTTTAAATCAATTCCTTGACAATTTTCTCACCGTATCTCATGTGTTGCCCCTACTCGATCCCCACTTCCTTGCACCTCACACCTTGCCAACCCATATTCTTCCTGACATTCCTTGCCTCTGGCCTTCACATTCACTCAAGTACACTCGTCACCAGTCTACCATCATTCACTTGTTCAATACTGTATGACCAAACCATTGCAGAACATTCTTCTCAATTCCTGCCGTTTATCAACTTGTGTGCGCTAAAGAGTACTGGGAGGATGGGATGCCACGAGCGTAGCTTTCATCCTGTAACTACACTCAGGTAATTACATTCCATGACCTTTTAATTTCTTACCTCCTATTCTCCTAATACCGGATATATTTCTCAAGAGTTAATTTGTACTGCTCTAATTCTTGATTTTTCATGTCCATATGATACTACAGTATTGTCTCACATCCATAAATGAAGACTAGCACTAGCGTTCCTTTGTGCAGCTCTCGGGATACATCTCTGCCAATCTCTTTTTTCTTTTTTTCTAACAAGGCCTTTCAAGGGCCTTCCATTTTTCTTCACTGACCCACTCACAATGCTTTCAAACACAGTTACAGCCCCGCTCCTGTGTCAGGTAAGTCCACTACGGGCTCACCATAGCCGGTGCTACTTGGAACTTTTTGTTCCTAGTAGCTGAATCTAAAACAGCAGCAGCAGCAGCTTTCAAACTTCAGTTGCAAAAACTCACCTTTAATCAATAGCACCAAAGAGATTAATTAACTTTAATCAATAGCACCAAAGAGCCAAAGCTCAACCCCCACAAGCACAAATAGGTGAGTACATGCTCGGTATTTAAACTGATCAACCACTCAATAATAATAATAATATTATTAATAATATACTTACTGCAAATCACTATACTTAGTCACTCCTATAAACTACAACTTTGTTTACTTGAACTGACAATAGAAGTATTGTATAATGCAAATACCTGATTCAGTTTATAAGATTTGTATTTATATTTCGGTGACGCCATTTCAGCTGTCTAAAATTAATAGATTTAAACTTAGGAAATTATAATCTGGATGATAATATTATTTAATTAAGCACATAAAACTAACACATTACTAAATTAAATGCAAAGTTGCTAAAATTATTAAATATCCATCCAGTCAAACCAATTAAGAGATGTTTAGTAAAAGTAAATACATATCCTACAGTTTTAGCACCAGCCATATACTAGCACTGTATTATACTAGCAAATATACTACAGTACCTGTAATTTTAATTACAGTAACTAACCTGAGTATACTGAGAATTATCAGTGGGATGTGTTGGAACACTGGACACTGGGCTCAGTACTCCATCGGCAAGAACAACTTGCTCTGGCGTAAAAGGTGTGCATACCATCTGTGTTCGGTTTGCTTGTGACATCAATACTGACGACGAGGACGGATGAGAAGATAAAGAAAGAACTGACGATGGCACCGAGGAAGGAGGAGAAACAGACGGTAATGTGGAAGTCTGATGCTGTGTTGACGTAATGATATGAGGGTGAAGACTGTACACTTGATGACTAGCCTGACTCCCAGAGGACGAAACTGGGGTTGTGTTGAGTATCACATTATTCGAAGATGCTGGGGAGCTGGCCAAAATTAAATTATTTGAGGATGATGTATTTTCAAGTGACATATTGCTAGAGTTGGAATGTGTGTGGCATAGAGACGTACTGTTGTTAGAAGACTGTGTGTTTGAGAAATCAAGGTTACAGGACATAGGAATACCCGAGTAAGCAACAGCAGTGGAAGAACCAGGTGCATTAGACATGCCCGTTGATGAGACAGACACATTTGATAGAATAATATTATTTGCTGATGATACAATGTTTGGCAGAACATTTGTGGAAGATATTGATATATTAGGAAGTGTGAGGCTGTTGGATGACACAGTAGAATCAGAGATTGGAGTACTAGTTAAGCATGTAGATACATTACAAAGGCCAACGTTTTCTGTGGTAGGAACACTGGACATCACAATATTATTGGAGGGAGATACATTAGAAATAACAATATCTGAGGAGGAAGCAGGAACATTTGGAAGAATAATGCTATGAGAAGACACAGGTATATTTGGTAGAGAAATGTTTGTAGAAGAAATAGATGATGGAAGACCAAGTATATGTGGTATTCCTTGAGGTGTCTGTGGTGGCACATCACATGTAACCAGATCAGCTTTCTGCTTGTACACGGTCATGGGATGATCTGCCGTGTGTGTTCGAAGATGTGCTGCCATGTTGTCTTTACGAGAGAAGCAGCGGCAGCACTTTGGACATGAATAATCTTTGATCCCTGTGTGAACCTGTAACAAAATAATTTAAAATATAATACATTATGGCAGAGTATCTTAAGGAGTTCCAGTCTTTAAAACATATGACCAAATATTGTACATACACTTAATATTTACATTATTTACGATTCTCACAATGATAACCATTCCATTTCTCCCGTAATTAACTTATTTATAGTGCAATAGCATGACTAGGTAACTTTGACCAAGAAAATAATGGAAAAACTACCTAGATGACATTTAAAGCTCACCTGCTCATCACACCCCCAAACATTCCTACATATAGTTCATATGATGCAAATTCTACTAGTTATTGCTCCTGACACAGTTTCAAAATAAATTGGGAACTAGATTGTAGCCATTGTCTTACCTTTAAGTGCCTGGCAAGATCTTTAGGTGCTAAGAACATTTTGTTGCAAGTCTTACAAGTATACTTCGAATTTCGGGGATTGTGCACGATTTTTATGTGACTCCTTAAATTTGACTCTGTCTTAAAGTCATGTCCGCAGTGCCTGTTGTAAAGAAAAACATTACAGTATATGAAAACCAACAAGTGCAAATACAGTACCTAAATCTATACTACGAGGTACAAGATATCATCTATGTTACAAGGTACAAGATATCATTTATGTTATGATGCACAAGACATCATCTATGTTACGATGCACAAGACATCATCTATGTTACGATGTACAAGACATCATCTATGTTACGATGTACAAGACATCATCTATGTTACAGAGTACAAGACATCATCCATATTGCAAGGTACAAGACATCATCTATGTTACAATGTACAAGACATCATCTATGTTACAGAGTACAAGACATCAACTATGTTACGATGTACAAGACATCATCTATGTTACGATGTACAAGACATCAACTATGTTACGATGTACAAGACATCATCTATGTTACGATGCACAAGACATCATCTGTATTATGAGGTACTATATTCCTACTATGGTCCCATTGGTCCCATTTAGAAACACTGGACATCTAACCCAGAAACTACAGACGACTCTCAAGAAATGATTACAGGTTCATTTAGCATTCAACATGGCTGACTGCCTACATGATATAGAGGAAGGTGCTTATTTGTTGTACCACCAACAAATTATGTTGGTGGTACAAAAAATTACAAATATATTAATTTTGGACTTTCCCAGTCAAAATTCAGCTAATTCAGATAGATGTCCAGTTAATGCATTTGGGAGGGAAGAAAGGCTATATGATCCGGATTAGCTGGTGTCAATAATTAGCAAGCAAACAAAAATAAAAAATGAACATTTACAAAAAGTTACCCAAATCCTTGCATGTTAATAATGTTATGTATGTTATGTTAATAATGTAGACTGATAAAACATATTCCTATACAGTAGTAGTGTTATTGGTAAGGAAAATTAAACACGATTACACATTACTGAAGTTGGAAATACTGTATACAAATTTTCTAATGAAACTTGGTCACAAGTAACATATAGTACATATATTTACCAAAGGTTACTCAAATCCTTGTATAATTCTAGTAATAATACAGATAAAATATTTTCCTACAGTGTTACTTGTAAGAAAAATGTAATGTGATTACGCTAAATTAAAGTTGGAAATACTGTATACGCATTTTATAACAAAAATATAATAAAAAGCCACACACGTACATTTACCAAAAAGTTATCCAAGTCGTCATATAATTACATTAATAATACATATAGATAAAGTATTTTCGTACAGTGTTACCAACAGGCATACTCCTTCCCAACTCCTCTCTTTTTGTCCCTTCTGCTCTTCTAATAACTACTACATTCAATTAATAGTTGCCTAACATAAATCTAACATATCAAAATTTCCTTCTTTAAATTGTTTACAATTTCCAGTTTCTTTTGTTTCCCATTTATTCCTTTTATATTTCTTTAATATGCCACAGCCATGGGGCCAGCTTTTGCTTTCTTGGGCCTGGGCATGTGTGGGCCCTAGATCCAAGTACTGTACCAATTCTGCACAATGTTGCCAGGAATTGTGGAGGATGGATCCCCAGCCCAATCCCTTGCCATGCTATCGCACAAACCCTAGAGCTGAATGACTTACATAATCTAGACTAGAAGAAATGGCAGCAGGGTGTATTACTTACATGCACTTGACTCGCTCCTTGGTGGTGTGGACATGGGCCAAGTGCTGGTCTAGATATGCCTTAGCTTTGAAGAGAGCACCACATTGCGGACACATGTGTTCTCGGTCCTCCTGATGCACGGTCTTTATGTGCTTATCACGAGTATATTCGTTCTTGAATGCATTGCCTGTCAATTGATAAGCCATAATCAATGAATGTCAAAGGTTTATCTAACCTGGAAAGGTCTTCTAACTACACAGGCTACAAATTAGTTACAAAATTTGTAAGGTATATCACCTGCTCAACAAAATACTGTATATATAAACAGATGCTTCTTGAATGACTCCAGATAAAGAGTCAGAAAAGACATAGGGCAACACTTCATTCCATATAGTGTGCAGTAATGACTGTTGATTGGAAAAATAAAACAGGTTGGTGACATATAATAATATATTCTAGGAAAAACAAATTTGGCTTTGAATTAATATGAAAAACACCTTCATGTGAAGAAGATCACTCAACTGCTCCCTAAGCCAAGTGATCCTGTGTCAAAGGACGAGATCATGTACATTCAGGCAGAACGACATTCTGCCGAGAATGTGAGCCACCCCACCAACAACAACACTGGCACAAAAGGCACGAGCAATATATACTTTCAAGGAAAAGAAATGGCAGTTCATCATCGAAACGATACAGAGAATATTAGAGAATCAGGAAGCACCAGGAACATTTATGGAGTAAAAGACATAGGGCAAAGTGGAATAAAAGCTAGAGAAAATCTAGAATCCTGGAAAATACACAATCCAAGCAGTGTCTGCAAAATGCAGACATTTTGTCTGTATTTTGTCTGCAGCTCTGCAAAATGTTATGTCACATTCCAATGTCAAGCCGAGAAATACAATTAGTGTACAAAGAAAAAGCAAAAGACAAAGACAAAAGGAATTAGGACAAAATAAACAAAAGGGACAAAGAACAAGGGAAAAAGTGGGAAATAGTGGAATTAACGCGGCCAGCAGTAGCTGACAAGTTGAACTAGGAAGTGACTTGGGTACTGAGTACTGGAATGCCATGAGATAGTGACAGTCAAGGGAAGTGACCTGGAGGATGAGTACGAAACATCACAAGATAGTGTTACTAAATTTAAAGTGTTAAATCCAGCAGTGTTAAATCCTATGAAATTAAAACACAGAAAAAAAAGAGAGACAGTAACTGACATATCATAAAGGTGAGAAAATCAACAAACTAATAAACATGAAAACAAGTGGCCACTAGCAAATCAGAAGCATAGAGCATCATGTGAATACATGTACCATGAGTGTTAGAATAGCTAGCAAAATGCGGGGAATTTATTGAACCTATATTAAAAAAACAAGAGCTTAAAGTGTAATGAAAGACCCCCCCATTTCTAGATGGCAACGCAGTAACTCCGGTGAGATTTTGGCATAGACTCTCTACAATTATGCTAAGTGCATTGGGTTCCCATGGCTTCTCTCTCTCTACCCATCAGGAACAAGCATTTTAAACCTTGCCAACCCAGAACAAAAAGAGGTAATGGTATTGAACATCAGGCATCAGGTGGCAATTCTGGAATAGTCATGTGAGTAGGATATAAACACCAATACAAAGACAGGAAAACAGAAGGCATCCAAATGAGAGAGGAGAAAAAGAAAGGATAGCCTCATATCGCCACATACGGAGTGACTGAACTCTTCTCTACACCGTGTGTTCAGCCATAAATCATACAACAAGGCTATTGGAAAAGTTCCTCATTTGAAGTTAGGCTCAAAGTCCATGAGTACCTGGAGTGTGTGTGTAGTGTCCTGAGCAAACCTTGACCCTGGCTAGAGAAGCAATCGAGAGGGCCCTTCTCCAAAAAGAAAAGGAAATATTTCTAAATGACAGGGCAATGTAAAGGTGGAGAGAAGGGAGCAGACACCAAGAAATGTTCTATTAGTGAAGCACCAACAAAAATCAATAGAAGAAAAGATATCATTTTTCCATGACTCACAATAATACTTGTGCTTTCATGGGCAAGTGTGACCAGCTGGTCTATTACTTAATACCTGTACATACTTCCAGGAAAAGGCATGCTACTTACCACAAATGTCACACAAATGCTTCCTTTCACTAGAGTGAACTATCTGGTGAAGCTGAAGTTCGGAAGGGGTCAAGAAATGCCGGGGACACAACGTGCACTTGAACTTCACATCTGGGTGAGAACGCAACATTAGCTCTAGCTTCATTACATAAAACACACACAGGCATATATTCAAATATAAGTTATCTGTTTTCATGAATATGCTGACACAGTAAACTCATAAATACAACCAGAGCTTATTAGTAATTAAACCAACAGAGACTTTTACAAAGCAAGACATTATAGCAAACATGTAAGGGAAAATATATTCACTATTTAAATTGCCACTTCCCATTGGGCCATTCAGAACTATTTGGATCTAAAATATGAGGGTGTGTGAGGGATGGGGGGGGGGGGGTGATGACAGGGAGGTTTTGTTTTGGAAGAGAGGGGAGGATGTCTGTGGAAGGGATCTGGAAGGGTGTGTGTGTGTGTGGAGGGAAAGGTGGGTGTGGGATGGACCTGGGAGGAAGCGTGGGATGGACCTGGGAGGAAGCATGGGAAAGACCTGGGCACGGGGTCGTCCCAGGCACTGCCAGGTACCCCCATCTGGTTACCCTTACTTATATAATACTCTACTATGTAAGGTGAACACATATAATGTCGTAGACAAGATATTTTTTCCCTAACATTAGCACCTTCCATTATGATCTACTATACAAACTAATGTGAATGTAATGTAAAGAAACACTAATGATTAACGATTTCTCACTGTGGGAAACATGAAGCCTGTTAAGCTGATAGAGATCTTCCATGTCAGAAGTGAGGCTGCACACACGCCCAATGTACAAATGAATCCAATGAATGAATGAATCCACGCCCAAATGGAGAATGAATCATGGAAGAAGCTGTTGAAAAAAAATGGTCTATGGATATGAAAATTAAAAAAACCAGCAGCGGCATTTTAGGAAACAATACAGCTTTGATAAGGCTACAATAAGTAACACTTACAAGAATCCTGGTGGTGAATGGCCTTATGTTTACGATAACTTTGCTTCCACTTGAAGGATCGGTTACATTCGAGGCACAAAAACTTTGCTCCCTCGTGTTTGGTCTTCATGTGCAGCTGCAGATAGTATGGTGTCTTACAGTCCTTCTCACACACCTTGCAAATATTGCCACTACCTACAAAATAAAAAAAATACTGCTAAATTTACTCACTACATTCACTAAAAAGATATTTAAACAAAACTGTTGCCAAGAAAAACTAGATCAATTCATTTAAGAGTAACCGTTTTAGAGTAATCATTGTCAATGAGAAAAACTCAATCAAGTGTCAGGTGTAAGTTGACCAGACCACACTAGAAAGTGAAGGGACGACGATGTTTCGGTCCGTCCTGGACCATTCTCAAGTCGATTGTCACAATCACAATCGACTTGAGAATGGTCCAGGACGGACAGAAACGTTGTCATCCCTTTACTTTCTAGTGTGTGGTTTGGTCAACATACTTCAGCCACGTTATTGTGACTCATCGCCTGCGTCAGATGTAAACTGACACTAATAGCTAGTGTTTCGGTATCTGCTGACCAATATAACAACGTAATCTAGAATATCATCGCTATTCACCAGCCTACTAAAAACACGAGGCAACATTTAAGCAAATAAATGTATGCAAGTGTCAAGAGCAGTTAACAGCTGGAATGAACTTGAAAAGGGGTAATGGGCAGTAACTCCCTTCACAGCTCCCAATGCACGATAAATCACAAGAGGCTCGGGCATCAAGGAACCAGACAACCACACCTCTTTCCCAATAGACACAAATAGGTATGAATAGGGGGTTTACAGCATAACAAATACACAGGTTAACACTGCAGCCAAGACTGGTGAGCCATGAAGAGTCAGGGAGGAAGGCATTCATCATGCTGACCATATGACAGTAGATGTGCTCATGTGCTAGTGAAATATCACAGCTCGGAAAACAAAATGGTTAGAATTAGCCAAATAGCAATACTGTATATGAAATATAGCAATATTACACACAGAGATCACACTAACGTGATGCATCAAATGAACAAATCCACAAGGGCATGTTGTAGCTCAGTCGATTAAGGCAGTGTCTGGGATGCTCCCGGACGCAGGTTCGAATCCTCGTCACGGCCCTTGTGGATTTGTTTATAGCAATATTATATATGAAATATAGTTATATATGAAGTATAGCAATACTGTATATGCACAACAGCAATACCATACATGCAATAGAGCAATACTGTCTACTCTATGTACTATGGCAATACCGTAGTGTAAATCTAAAATAAAAATAAAGCAATATTCATCTAACTAACCTCCTTCCTTATGAACAGATTTGTGAACCCTAAGCGATTCCTCGTGCCGAAATTCTTTGGCACAAAAGTCACACGAATATATTTTATTCTGATGAGTCCTGAGGTGACGCCTCATAGTGCGCTGTGTCTTGAAAATCTTCCCGCACTGAGGGCACGGCTGATTGATAGGGCAGTGGGTTAATCGATGAGCATCAAGGCCACTCTTTTCCACAAAGCATTTGTTGCAGAAAGTGCACTGCAAAATGTAAAAATAATTTGCACAAGTTAATGAATATCTCAAGAGTAAAAAGCTATTTACTATATACTGAGATGTGAATATCTCAAGGCTTTTCATAGAAAATAAAAATATTAAGACGGCCCCTAATGGCAAAGGAAATTAAGAGACTTAATTTCCCTGCCATCAGATTTTTAAGAGACTTAAGAAGAGACTGGTGTAAAATAGTGTCAGTCTTCCTTCCACACTCGGAAGGATCGCTGCTGTTGTCCACTTTCACATGGTGGGGAGGTATTAATCTGTTTAAAGCAGGAGAGTATATGTGTGTGGCATGGCAGGAGAGCAAGATCCTAGATGATTGTACTAAAGCCATTGTGATATCTCTTTATAAGATAAAGGATATCGGTGTTCTCAATTTATTCAATCCTAATAATCATTTATTCAATCCTAATAATCATACTTTTTTATGATAATTCATGTTTTTATTCATTTATGCAGCAAATAGTTGTGCCTGATTAACTAAAATGGGGGGATTAGTTTACATAGATCCCACAAAAACTGTAAGGTTGTTAGTTGACAGTCAGCGAGATAAGAGAATGCAGGACAGGGGAGAAAAAAATAAAGATTCAGCCATCAGGTATTCCTACTAGGATTACCTGATAAACTATAAATTGAAAAAAATGAAGAGCTCACCATATACGGTTTGTTGCCAATGTGGTAATTTAGATGCCTGAGAAAACGGCTGCGACGAAGGAACGTTTTGCCACAGTATGTGCACCCAGATCCACGATAACTATGAAAGTCGTCATTTTTATTTAACGCTTCTTTTGAATCTCTGAAATGATATAAGCAAAGTGAGAATTCAAGTCAGATTTAAAAACATGTATCAAAGGAAGATAGTGATGAATTGTTTGGGACAGTTCCACATAATATGAGAGAACAGCACAGTATACTAATCATATATACAGTATTGCAATTTTAAGCCAAATAAGGGGCACACACACACACAATCTTTAAAGTAAATGTTGCTCAATATTTTGTTTAGAAAAACAACAAAATGATATATATTGTACAGTACCTGAGACTAATAAGAGCTATCACAATCATGTATGTGAAGTATTTGTTATAATACAGAAATGATCATGTGAGCTGCGATTACAGAAAGAAATCCAAAATATTGTATTTTAATTTCTTCACCATAGGTAACCATTAAACACAAAAATATTAACTTCATGTATTGGAAACATCATACACATCTGTCAACAAAGTCATGCCACATCCTTCATTTTATTTACTTTTTCACATTCCTCCAAATGACAAATACAGTACATGTCTGTGTCATGCTCTCAATCCAACATTTTCTAGGATTAACACTCATACCCTTTCAAATATTCTGTAATTCTTCTCTGATCAAAGCATCACCTCCTCCTTTTCATCCTAATCCATTTCTAACCACACAACTACCTCAAAATCTCCCAATTCTTTTAATTTTCACACATCTTCCATTCATTCATCCCCTTCAAATGTCTCATTTACACTTAACATACCTCTCTCTCCAATTATACAATTTTCTTTAAATTCTCATTTTTCCCTCCTCCTTCAAGACATTTACATTAAACATGCTCACACCCCAACCTGTCTTCTTAATAGTACATCGCATTTAGAAAAATACTTTCCCTAATGCCAAACACTCTTGTAATGAAAATGATAGCGGCTCGCAGAATTGACATGATGTCCTGTTTTCTGTTCGCGGTTTCCTCAGGTAGGTTAGCTTTGGGCCATTTAGAACAACAATTCAGTGACGTTGGGAATGCTCAGAACAGGCTGGACACTCGGTTTCTGGTACATTTTTCTTTGTTTCCGTTTTGCCCGCTTTCCACTACAGTACCTCAAACAGAGGTGTTGGCTAGTAGCAGCGAAGCAAAGCAGTGTTCCCAGGAGGGACTAGAGCCTGACAAAATACCTCCACACAGTACAATAATAAATTATTATTATTATTATTTTCATCATCATATCAAATTTTTCAATTGTCTTACCTAAAGTCTGGATCATCAGGATCTTCCTCATCTCCTCTATATCTTTCTTCTTCTCGACACTCTTCCTTCTCCTCTGGTTCCTCAGATTTAGATTCAAACTCAATTTCCATCTTCACTGCAATTGGAGTATTTGAAGGATGAACTGTTTTCATGTGTTGTTTGTAGGCCTCATAGCTTGGAAAATCCTTTCTGTTGTGAAGGTTAATTATTATTGAGATACATATTCAAAATAATTAGTGGCATTGCAAATAATAATACAGTGGAATCACGAGTGACGAGCGACCCCAGTTACGAGCATTTCGAGTAACGAGCAAGCCACTCGCTGACAATTTGTCTCGACTAACAAGCTTTCGCTCGATTAACAAGCGTTCCCGCTGGTTCTCAGACACCTCCGACAACAGTGTTGCTGTTGTTTCGCAAGACGAGTTTTCCACATGACGAGCTCGGAACTGGAACGGATTAAATTCGTTAATCGAGGCACCACTATACAAAAATCAAATGCATTTTCCTGAGCTAAAACCACTTGGTTACTCCCTTAGGCAATGCAGAACTGTATTGCTGAAAAAAGCTTGCATGTCGCAACCAAAAGGTTAATGTGGTCATGACAGGACATCACTTTTGATTCCCTCGACTGGCGCCTGTATGTCGCTATGCTACCCCAGTAGGTGGCTTCTTGGCAACTCTGCATTCAGTAGTTTCCTAGGAGTCAATCCAGTCTAAATGTATTCTTAATTTACTTCCAGACATGTACTGTACAAGTGAAATTCATCTGCTACACTTGCATATTATTCTTTGGAACTCTCCATTAATCATTCTTGCCCAACATGTAAATGATGCTACAAAATTTTCCCTTCTTTTTCATGCACATAGATTAGTGTAAATACTAGTACACAAAAATATTTATAAATCCTCTTACCTTTACATTAAAATGATTTGCCTACTTTGTCAATACAGAATCTTATTAGGCACTTTATTGCCTATCCCAGTTGGCAACGTTTGAAATAAATATTTGATGCAAACCTGCAGTAAATAGATAAAAGTCCCTCATCTAGATTGATTCTTAAGGTAAGAGCCAGCAACAGCCGAAGATTACTGATCATTAAACCTACTCTAAGACGTGCCTTTAGGGCTGAGTCTAGCACAAAGAGGTACAAGGCTTCATGCTTAAGGTTGAACTTGATTTTAGTGCCATTGAATTGATAGCAATGGAAGTAGTGGTCCACAGAGGCATAGCACTGAATACCTCACCATACCCCCAAAGGGACATAAAAGCACATTTCCAATAGCCTCCATTCCCACACTAATTGTCACCTGTGCAAGACCAAAACCTCTAATGTTACACAGACAGTAGTGCAGGATGGATTCATGAGTGCTTGGCAGACCAAACAGGAGCCATACTGCCTAAAGCTGAAGAGCCATACAACAAATTCAGAGTTGTACCCTTCCTGTCCTGAAGTCTCAACTTGAGTCAAAGCAGCAAGAGCAAAATTTTCCTCAAATAAAAAGGATTCTGCCAAGAAACTGCAAATCTGAGGACCCAGTGTTTCAGCACAGATACTGTACTTTTGTGCCCGAGTTCTAAGCTTAGCTGCATCTTTATAAGCTGCCTGCTGAAGTAAAGAATCAAACACAATGCATGTTGCAACAGTAACTAAGGGGGTGAAGCTAGCTTTGCATAAAATATTAGGAATGCAGGAGGCAGAATGGGTAGTTGAGGGGTAAACAAAACTCCCATCTTCCACTCCTCCATGCTGCACCAGGCAGAGCAAACAGGTGAGGAGAAAGTGGGCTATCTTGCAGAGCCCAACACTTGCAAGATAAAACTAAAGGTCACTCAAACACCTTAAGGCAACAACAACAGATCCAACATCCCTGACCAAATGTATGAAGAATATGCCTGGGAGCCATGGTACAATTAAAATACTACCAAGATATAGTATAAGAAAAGGCTAAAGATGCCATTACTACTAACAAAAATTACTGTTATGACTCATCTGAAGCCAACAAACGGCAACAAGAAGCTGTATACTTTATACCTGAATCTACTCTATCTGGACCAGGGTACAGACAACTGGACACTTCACATTAGAAAACAATATTTCACAGGATACAAACAAGTCAACTTAGCTATGAAGTGGTCTCCACCTGCCAATTTACACAAGACATAGCCAGGAAGATTGTGAAGTGGTCTGGTTTTGGGAACCCCGAAGCTTTCGTAAGGTAGCCGTTTGTTTCATCTCAAGATAACCTCAAGATATAGCCACCTAATGGTCAGCATAGCTAGTTAAAAATGCAAATGAGCAGTTAACAATAACCCTTTGTTTGCAGTCACTTGTAATGTCAAGAGTTTGAAAAGGCTTTGTATGCACGCACCACTGTCCTATATTCATGATCTTTGTTACGTGACACAGTAGATCTTGCCTTGGGGAGCAACTGAATGTAACAGCTATGAAACATGCAACTGTTTTGGATGGGAATGTTCTCAATTTATTCAATCCTAATAATCATACTTTTTTATGATAATTCAAGTTTTTATTCATTTATGCAGCAAATAGTTGTGCCTGATTAACTAAAATTAACTTTCAGTTACATTGTACCATGCGAATAAATAAATCTAGAGACACTATACATTTGCTGCATTTTATTTATAATTGGTTTATGTACTGGTATATACTGTATTTGTTAAATGTTTGTTTAGCTTGCATTTGTTATCTGTATGATTGTGTGTGCGGTGAGTGTGTACTCACCTATTTGTGCTTGCGGGGGTTGAGCTTTGGCTCTTTGGTCCCGCCTCACACGTCCTGTGTGTGTGTGTTTGTGTATGCATACATGCAAACAAGTAAGAACTGCTTAGCATATCCTAAAGGAGCCCCAGAAATGACACTTGCCAACATCGCCAGTACCTGCACGACAAACAGCGCGCCTGTTGATTGCAGTGAACTGTTGATATGTGAAGTTCATACTTGGTTTTGCTTCTTCCTTTCCAGCCACAGATGTAACAGGTAAACACGTGGCCTTCCTCCATGTGACGGTCACGGCTCACCTTGGTTCTGTTATATTCCAAAGAACAGGTAAGGAGAAAGTGCTGAGTCATTACAACTATATAGCACTTGGAGGGGATATAAGGATATGGATTTGGGATGGGACAGGGGGAAGGAATTGTGCCCAACTATTTGGACGGTCGGGAATTGAACGCCGACCTGCTAGAAGCGAGACCGTCACTCTAACGTCCAGTCCAAGTGGTTGGGCATCCAAAGAACAGAGTACAGTACAGTATACCATGTTTTCTTTGACCTACTATCATTAGAATCAAGAAAATATGTAAAGAGGAAAGGTAAGGTAATTACGAGGAAGAAATTGCTAGTATGACTACAGCACTTGGAAGGGATATGAGGACAATGATTTGCATGAAGGAATGGTGCCCAATCACTTGGACTAGCGGGGATCAAACAATGGCCTGCAAGAAGCGAGGCCATCTCTACCAACTAGTCCGAGTGGTTGGCTGAATATGTATGGAATGAATACACATTAGGATACAGTATTTGGTATAAGAAAGTAACTGAAGAGACAATGGCAAAATAGTTGCTGAAATTCATATAATTTTGCTAAGAATTAATATTTCAATAATAACCACAGTTAAATACTATATATGTTGCAGTACAGTATAAGAATCCCCATGGTAACTATACAATGACTCATTCTTTTTTGTATTAGATTAAGTTCAAGACAGAGGAAGATCCTTCTGAAGCTTAAAATTGCCCACAGTATAAATAATTTGAGCTTTAATATAAAAAAAAAAATACGTACCTGAACATGGCATCACAACTTTCACACTCCCACAGACCACTGTTTGCATCTCCTTTTGTGACTTTTCGTTTTTTCCTATTGCTCGGCTCTCCTGTATGATGGTCCTCATCCTGAAAATATCAAGAGACAAAAGAACACCATAGTGTATACTTACACATACATACTATGTTTTGGGAAGGGGAAGGAAAGTCCCTGTAGTAACATGTGAATGTGTAATATTAAACCAACTTTTCGGATGAAACCTACATCCTGTATCGACTTACTGTTAAAATATTGTTTGACAGCACCTTGATAAAGGATGTAGGCGTCATCTAAAAACTTGGTTTAATAATACACGTACACATGTATTGCGCCTTTCCTTAACCTTCGTTCAAACAGTATGGCAGTGTATGATGTTTTTCCACTATGTTTAGTGCTGTATAGTTGACAGCTCATAGTAGATACATATACAGTTTACAGACTGATTGATAAAAACCATCTACTGTACTTAAAACAAGTTATTAAAGAAATATATTTAAAACAATGAAAATTTGATTTAAAGTGGAGAAGGAAATATTGGATAAACATGTGCCAATAGTGAATCAAGTTTTGACTAGAGTAGCTATTAAGAATATTACATATAGTACTTTTAAAATCTTGTGCTAATATTTTTTATCTCATACAAAATTTCACACTTGAACATTAAAAAACCTACTTCACTGGGAATTCTCTTGGACCGTCTAATGCGAGATGAGCGCCGCAACTTCGCTAGACTTGCACTCTGGTCCACGGTACTATCATCTTCCCAGCCTGTGTTTGCAACCGTAACTAAGTCTTCCGGATCTTTTTTAGGCGGTTTTCTTTCTACGTTCGTCTTGACTACATTTGTTTCCCTCCTGTTAATGGCTTCTTCTGTCTCTCGTGTAACTGGCTTCTTTGAAGAGCACACATTCATTTGAAAGTTGGTCGAGTGGTCTTTGGTAATGCAATTATGAGTCTCACACCATTTAGAATAAACAGAGGAATAATTTCCACAGTCCAAGTCATCACACTGTTTTTCATTATTCTCTGAAGTTCTTGGTATTCTTTCTCTAAAATCCAAAGCCAGTGGATCTGACTGTTCTTTATTATCTCCTGCATAACTTGGATCATTACTGGTCTTAATCGTATTACATTCTTTGGTGCTCTTTTCCAGCCAAGCATTCTTGACTCTGACACTTGGAGCATGAATAGTTATAACACTGCAGTCAGAATATGATTCACTTTCCCTCTGACTTTCAGTTCTTGGATGTATGTAATCTTTATTTAATGCTGAAGAAATCTGATAATTACTTACATCAGCTTTAAACTGAAATTGTTTCGATCTATCAGTCAATCCAGTCTGGTCACCTAAGGGAAGAGTTACAAAATCTTCATTAAAAACCTCACTGGTGGCAATGGCTAAAGCATCTGGAGGCTGTGAAACTGGAGATGGAAACTCTAAGGAGGACTGGGGAGGGGATATAGTCAATACTTGCTCCTCCTGGAGTACATCACTAGACTGTAGAACGTCTTCGCCATTCAGCACTTCTTCAGTAATTAGAAATCCCCCACCTGCACCATCAGAGCTCAAAGGTTGTGGAAGGATGTATGTTTTGCCGCCACTTGTGAGGATCGTCACTGCTCCACCAGCAGTTAGTTCACTTCCAATTACACCACTCTGTCCCTCTCTCCTCTCTTCAACTTCCCATTCTCTTCTTGCTCCTCCATTCCCTTTACTTTCTGAATTTACTAATGATGCCGATGTGATCTGAATAACTTGTCCATCAAAAAGCTGGACATGAATATGGTTGGTAGATGCAAGCGTCCCAGCACCCGCAGGCAATGTTGCAAGTACAGTCTGTGAACCAATATTACCAGGAACAGTGTCCAACTGCCCTCTTCTTATGCGTGATGAATCCTCCTTCTTTTCCATTTCTCCTGAAGTCCCTTTAGCTTCTCCTGAAGTGACAGCCAAAGCAGACTGCTCATTTTTTTTATTCTCCATCCTTAAAATATGGTGTCAGGGTTTCTTTGTTTACCTCAACATGTTACTAACATTCTGTAATAAAGAAATAGAAAAAATTATGTATATATATACTGTACTGTGTATTTTATAGTTTATTTTGTCTATCTGTACCTAATAACCAGTGTCACACTATTTCTTGGCCTAGTATACATGGCCTAATTTGCCTAACAAGTATAGTAATTTTCATTATTTTCAAATATGTATATTTTCCAAATTGGTTTATTCTAATCATTATTATTATTATATTAAGAACATGAATTACTGACTTGGTTATGTTAGGTTAGGTTTGATCAAATTTGTTAGTTTTAACAAACAAAAAAATTTATGTATATAGTGGTACAGTACCTCTGTTTACAAATTTAATCCATTCCCAGAGAAGATTTGTAAACCAGATTTGTTTTGATTTGAATTTGAAAAGATTTGTAAATTCATAAATTAAAATGAATTTTTTCATAAGAAATAATGTAAATCGAATTAATCCGTTCCACACTCCCAAAATTAATTAAATATTTGAGATGAATATAACCACACATTAAATTAGTTTCTTTGTAATTTTTATACATATTCAGTATTAATGTATCAACAAATATCTTAAGACAAAGTGTATGCAAGTAGTAAAGAGTAAAATACTGTACTAGAATTAATATTACTGTTAACATATGAGAACCTTACACTTAAAGAGAACTTTAAACAGCACATTCTCCTTACTCGTACCTATTATATTTTACCATTTTTTTATTAGAGCTTCATTAAATAAAAAATGATTAATTACAAACATTAATTTACAAAATAAAGCTATAGGCTGTGAATGTTCTATGCTCACTTGAAGGTCAGATGTATATCGAGAATGCAGAAGCCATTTCCTCTTTGGATAGCGATTCCGAGGCGCTGGCACCAGAAAAGGATGGTTTTGGATACAGTTTTCTTGTAGTAGTGATGAGCCAGGAACCCAAGGTGTTCCTGGGTATACAGTAATGCAGTAATTTTGAAACTGAACAAGCTTCATTTGTCAACCTGCAATGTATGATTTTTGTAATTATTTATTTGTTAAATATTTTTTACAAGAATGTACAACGGATTATTTCTTTTAGAATTTCCATGTGTAAATGGTACATTTTCCCAAATTCCCTTACATGTATAGTGTAAGTGGTTTTGTGAAAAACTTAAAATTTTTGGGGTGAAAAACCACAAAACTTTCTGCATTCTCCAACACATATATAGTATGTTGGAGATTATTGTCCTAGAAAGTGTAAGACTGTATCAGTGTGTGTGTTATGTGCAACATAAGATCTGTCCCAATCTGTATCCTCCCCAGGCATATTAATACCACTCATGAGTCGAGTGTTTTAAGCAGGTAAGGAAAAAAAAAAGTGTTACGGCCTCACACGCGTGGGGGTCCATGGGTCCAGACCCCCATACAGTTTAGGCGAATGGAATGTTTAAGCAGGTCATTGTATTTTCCCGCTGTGATGTGACCATGAGCCCTAGCCTCACCCCCCCCCCCCCCCCTCACTCACCAAACCCCTCCCCACTCCACATTTTTCCACTTTGCCTTCCTTATTGTGGATACACAGTACTCTGTGAAGGCCTATATAATACTATTCCATTTGTGCTGATGGTAAAATAAAAATTCACTATTACAAATCAGGTTACATTATCTTTTATTCAAAAGGCGCAGTATTCCATATACTACCTGTATTCAATACAACCACAATAAATAGGTTATACAAGGGTTACTTATTCAACCCACTTTTTGCTACTCCATGTGCTCTCTGATATAATAAAATACGACTCCAGAGCACCTAGCAGAAAGACAAACCAGATGTACGTTAAGAGGTCGGTCATATTCAGAGAATATAGCACCAAGTTCAGTCTTGAAAACAAACTTCCTGCCAAGAACAAGTTCAGCATCACCTCTTGCAAAGACATCTGATAAATGCCAAACACAGTACCCTTGCATCCCATACTACTGAAGTGACTTAGTGGTGTTACAGATTTCACCAGGGACTCGACACTTCACTGACTGGTCATTCGAACCAGAGCTATGGACTAACCACTTTGCACTAGAACATGAAAGTCACCGACTGTGATAAATTATACCATGTCTCATAGAAAGCAAGTGTATATATACTGTATATAGTATACACTATAGGCTTGTATCGTGGTCTGCCTCAAGGTCAACCTACTGATCCTCCCCCAAGGATGCAACCCCATTGCTTGTCATGGGGGAAGTACCTATTTACTGCTGGGTGAACAGAAGCATTAAACGAAACGCGCCCAATCACATACGCTGCACCCAAGAATCTACCCCGGGACCTTCAAATTGCGAGACGAGAAGAAAACCAACCACGCTACTTTACTTATAGTTAGCATAACTGAACCAAAATACACTGTCATGCCCCTGCACCCCACACTAGTGGAAAACATTGGGACAAGTCACTCCTTTCTCTCAAATTATTCACACAATGTTACTTTAATTAGTAAATAGAGGTTATGTGTGAGGGGGAAGACAAAATGGGGCGACTCGTCCCGACCGCTTGGATAACCTCGCCACCGAGACTAGCAAAAAGAGATATTGCGTAAACTAACAGCTATAACCTTGCACTAGCATCAACGGCTTGACCGGGGCCTGGCCAGGAGGAGGGTGGCGGCCAGCCAGGCCCCTGGCGAGGACGGGGTGAGGGAGAGGAGCACCTCCAGCAGCAGCTGGCCATCTGGAGTTGTTTACATCCAACATGGCGAGCACAGTCGTAATCGGCGGGCCGCGGCCTCTCTCTCCTTCTCTCCCTCCTCACACGCCTTATATCTCGCCTCGCCACACCTCTTGACTATCACATGATCCACCACGAGGCTATACTGCTAGTCTATGGGGTCTTTAGCCTCTTAAGAAGCTTTTACCGGTCAAAAAACGGTCTATAATAGTGGAGGAAGTTGTGTTCTTACTGGCCTTGATGCTCTCCAACAACTTCATTAAAGTAATAACAAAAAAACTTTCACTCGCATTTTGTACATAATAAAAAAATAAATAATGATTATATCGCGGAGCATATACTATTGGAGAAATATATTATTAAGCTAGATAATAAGGCACATAAGGTATCATTTTTCTCTACTAAAAGCTGACAGGCGCGGGCGTTTCAAAAAATTTCAATGGTGGACATTAATTAAATAATGCAATTATTTAATTATAAACTATAAAACAAGAGCCAGGACACACCCACCACCCTCAAAACTATATCTATGATTGCCCTGTAATCAAGGATTTCACACCAAATGGAACTATAATGAATTATGAACTATAAGAACAATAGCCAGGCCATATCCCCCCCACCACCAACACTATATCTGTAATTGCTCTGTAATCAATGATTTCACACCAAATGGTATGAGGTACTTTGAGTTCTGTAACTACTTCATACACTCGGGAATATTGAAAGATGTTCTTGCATGTCGTTCAGATGTCCTGGTATTTCATGTTCCTGTGCCAGGTAAGTCCACTACGGGCTCACCATAGCCCGTGCTACCTTGGAACTTGTTCCGAGTAGCTGAATCTATAACAACAACATCAGGAGAGGTAAGTAGTGGTCGTAGCCGTAGCAACATGGGGTTTATATTTCATTAAATATCAAACATATTAATTTGTAATTATTTTATTAATCCAACATGTCTTCAGGGAGGAGATCTCCTGGAGGTAATGACTTTAAAACCACTGCATAATTAGTACTATTATCTATTACCCATCCATGGGTAGTTTGGATTACGGTTATGTTATGTATTATTCTCAAAAGGGTGAAATAGGGAATCTGAAAACTATTTGAGTATCCCCTAAAATTTCATTTTAGGGGATACTCATACATCTCCTAAAATACTCATTTTAGGAAAAATTTCACAGTAATGAAAACCAAATTCTTCAGCCCGTTTCAGAGAAAACGAGTTCAGCATATACGTTTCATATTTTTAAACCAACTATTTATGATACAATAAAGTTAGAACTTGAGAATATTCTTTATTTAGGACCAAGATTCACTTGCCATATGACATGTAGACCATTATTATATCCATAATATGCTTTCAGACCATCACAAATATCTAGATAACTATACAGGTCATATAAGGGGGGTCTCGTTCTAATGGATATATTCTCAGGCTGTATTTAATGTTATTAATATTTATAATATAATTATTAACATTATTACTGTGTAATATCTCTATATATAAAGTTTTAAGAATGAACTAGAAACTCGTATCAATACGGTGTATTCTGCGCATCTACCCGGTTCACAGCCGAATAGTTCAGGGTTCGATTCCCTGACAGGATGAGACAATTGAGCACATTTCATTATATCTGATATGTCTGCGGTCACCCACCCGTAAATATACCCTGGAGTTACACAACTGTTGTGGGTTGCATCCTGAGGAAATTTAATCTTTGACCTATGTTGGGGGGACCAATGAGAAATAAAATTTTAAACGACTCAGGCGAATTTTATTGAGGAAAAAATAAAATAAAACCTATAGTATGATATGGAAAATATAAAAGTATAGAGATGATAAACTTTGTGAAAAAATCATTACAATGTATATAATTATTAATCAAATACTACGTCAAATATATATAAATAAATAAACCAAATGAGATATGTATTTTAAGTCAAATCACTGAGAGAATATCAGATATATTGAAATATTGTATTACTAGCGACACGAACAAAGAGCGGAGTAATGCAATAGCACCGACACACCTAGTAACATTCAAAATATATACAATTATACAGCCATTGCTACAAAAGAACTGTCTCAATAGAATGTTACGAAATAAAGTGACTTGAGTCACCCTCGAATGACGACAACGACGAACTGGCGGGAAATCCAAAATCCGGCGGACATCGACCCACATCCTCGACTTACTCCGCCAACCCTGTCATATATATATGCATGCGTGTGTCTTTATATATATTATATATATATAATATATATGTATACACAGTATATATATGTGTGTGTGTGTGTGTGGAGGTGGGGTCCCTTGATTGTTTCAAACGTGGGTTAGACATCTATGTATATGAGTGGGATTGGGTGGTTATAAATAGGAACTGCCTCGTATGGGCTAATAGGCCTTCTGCAGTTACCTTTGTTCTTATGTTCTTATGTGTGGCGTGTGAGTGCATGTGTTAAAATGATTCAATATATGCGTTAGTTCGGTTACTAATGCTTCATTACTCTTAGCAAGTCGGGTTAGTAAAGCACTAATTGTTAGGAGGCTGGGTCATGGAAGGGAACTGTGAGGAGAAAGTGCCAAGCCATTACGACTATTTAGCACTGGGAAGGGGTCAGGATAAGGATTTGGGATGGGACGGAGGGAAAGGAATGGTGCCCAACCACTTGTCGACGGTCGGGGATTGAACGCCGACCTGCATGAAGCGAATATATATATACAAGATTCATACACTGCATTGCTCACACACCAATAGGTAACGCGATTTGGGATTATATCGTCGTAAGATAGGTTAAAGAGTAAGTTAAAATTTCGCTATATATGTAAGTTAAAATTTCGCAGAGCATAACTCCTATAGGTTTATAGTCTATATACGTTAAGCAGCACACCTTTCGTAGCCTATAGCCTAGCCTATAGCCTAGCCTATAGCCTAGGAAGCACATTTCTCAGTATACATGTTAATAAACACGTGGCGGTGTTATTAATGGCCATGTCAGAAGTAGTCGTAGTGGGAGGTGTCTCTCAGGTGTGCACAGGTCTATAATGGTCTCTTCTCACCTCCCCGACTTTCGTCCCCCCAGGTGAGAATATATGTACGAAACGCTGCGCGTAATAGTGGCTTCAGCCATTGTATGTACTTGCTCTATTTAGGAGGGGGGGGGTGGATATTGTATGTACTAGCTCTATCTAGGTGGAGGGAGGACATTGTATGTACTGGCTCTATCTAGGTGGAGGGAGGACATTGTATGTACTAGCTCTATCTAGCCATTGTATGTACTAGCTCTATCTAGCCATTGTATGTACTTGCTCTATCTAGCCATTGTATGTACTTGCTCTATCTAGAAGGAGGGGGGAGGACATTGTATGTACTAGCTCTGTCTATCTATCTATCCCCTCCTTCTAGATAGAGTAGCCTAAGCCACTCTATTCCTTTGAGATGTATTGTATTGTCTCGATAAACGTACTTGTACTCTATCTAGAAATCCAACATTATGTTTGTAACTCATTTTGAATGTATGTATCTTTACCTGAATAAACATCTTATCTTATCTTATCTTATCTTATCTTATCTTATAGAATTCTTACTATATTTCCTTTTTATATTTTCACCATATGGCAACTGATCCGATTTGATTCTTTGTTATTTTTCTTGTTTGTTGATAATTAACTTACATTCGTTGATTTAGAAGTAGGTCTGAGGCTTTTTATTATTTAAAAGTTATGTTAACTAAACAATTTAATGTATACCATTTTCTGAATAAAATATTTAGTTGTATTGGTTGATTGGTGAAATAATTGCTGCTTATATTTTCTAGATTCGTTAAAACTTTCGTATATATGTATATTAGGTGTTGTTCTATTTGGATACAAGACAATGGAATTAGATACTGAGATAATATGATCACAACATACAAGATACCGAGGGGGAATAGATAGGATAGGCTCTTTAAATTCAGAGAAAGTAGCACAATAGGACATAAGTGGAAGCTGGAAACTCAAAAAACATGCAAGTGGTGTCGATATTCAGACCATGAGTTACAATAACGTAGTCGAATATATATAAGGAAATACCCGCATCCTGTACGGGTGGTTAACAAGTGTAATCCGCTGAAAAACAAAGTTGTAGAAGCCACCTCCATCTACAACTTTATGGCTAGATTCGACTAGAAATTTGATCATTAGGATAGTTAAATTACACCGCAACAGGTACAACAAGGCTTGTAGGAGGGGAATGATGTTGTTTAAGATTTCCTACTTGGAACAAAAAGTTTCAAGTAGCACGGGCTATGGTGAACCCGTAGTAGCTACCTCACTTCCCCGTAAACTCCGATAGGTAAGTACATGATCAATTTATACCAAAAATAAGTAAGAAACTTTGAAGGAAAATCCAAGTATGAACATTCACCCTTAGAGCAAAAAACTTTCCACTGTAGTGGAAAGAAAAATTAAAAATAGCAGAGATAACGTGATACAGGATGAGAGCTGCCGACCACCGGAGTGAAGGAAAAATAGCGTCCAAAGTCCCGTCCAGGGGACCCGCTATCGTATATTCTTTCCCGGGAAGTATATAGCCGATTCACGAAGCAGTTACGCAAGTACTTACGAACGTATACATCTTTCCTCAATCTTTGACGGCTTTGGTTACATTTATTAAACAGTTTACAAGCATGAAAACGTTCCAATCAACTGTTGTTGTTGTTATAAACAGCCTCCTGGTGCTTCGGAGCTCATTAAGTGTTTAATAATTGTAAACAAAGCCGCCAAAGATTGAGAAAAGATGGACAGGTTCGTAGGTGCTGGCGTAACTGCTTCGTGAATCTGGCCGCCCATGGTTTAGAGTAGGACTGAACGTATAATCTTAATAATATGTACCTCCAGATGTACATTAAAATCTCAAGAACGTGAGTATATCCGTGAGAAAGTTCAAGTACGGATGGGAGCCGGTCGGCCGAGCGGACAGCACGCTGGACTTATAATCCTGTGGTCCCTTTCACCCTATGCCCCTGTTACCTAGCAGTAAAATAGGTACCTGAGTGTTAGCCAGCTGTCACGGGCTGCTTCCTGGGGGTGGAGGCCTGGTCGAGGACACTAAAAAACCCCGAAATCATCTCAAGATAACCAAGATAACGTTTATTGAGACAATAAA